CATATTGTTGGGTTTTGTTTCCTAATCCACTGAGCCAATCTATTTCTCTTAGTTGGTGAATTGAGTCCGTTTACATTGATGGGTATAATTGAGATGTGTTGACTTACGATTGACATGTTATTTCAATGCTGTTTTTTAACTGCTTTTCTCCTGTGTTTGTTTGTCCTATTTAGTGGGTTTCTTCTGTTCTCTTTGGTGGAGTTCTGATCATTTTGGTTCCTCTCTAGAACATCTTTCAGTAGTCTGTGTAGGGTTGGTTTTGCCATCATGAAACTCTTTAGTTGTTCTTTGCCATGAAAGTATTTCACTTCTCCATCAAACTTGAAAGAGAGTTTTGCAGGGTATAGTAGTCTAGGTTGGAATTTGTTTTCATAGAGGCCTTGAAGTATTCTGCTCCATGCTCCTCTTGCCTTCGTGGTTTGTGAAGAGAAGTCGGCTGTAATTCTGATGGGTTTTCCTTTGAATGTGATCTGCTTCTTTTCTCTAGCGACTTTCAGTATGATATTCTTGTGTTGGATTTCTGGGATCTTGACTATTATGTGTCTCGGTGTGTTTTTAATTGGGTTGAAATTATTTGGAGTTCCGTATGCTTCGGTTAGCTGAGTATCAGATTGTTTCCTCATATTTGGTAAGTTTTCTGCTATTACTTCTGCCCATATTCTTTTTATATCATTTGTATTGACTCCTTTCTCACTGATGCCTATTAGCCTCACATTGTTCATTTTTGCTTCATCTTACAGGTGATGAATTATTTTTTCCTGCATCCTAGTTGTTTTTAAAAGACCTTTTCTTACCTTTTCACTAGCTGCACCAGTGTCTTCAAGATCTGAAACTCTTATCTTCACTTTTGATCAAACAGTTTTTCAGACTTGTGATTGAGATTTTAAGTTCTTCTACATCTCTTTGACTCTGCTTCATGCGATCTAATTCTTTCCTGTATTGCTCATTCAAGGAATCCATCATTTTTTAAATTTCCTGTATTTTTTAATCAATGTCTTCTTTAGAAGCAGTTATTAATTCTTTTACTGCAGAGTTTTTTACGGATTGGGTTTCCTCTTTGTTTCTGTATTTGATTCTTTAGTTCAAGTGCTATAAATTTAGAGTTTTCTTTTTTCAGTTCAGACAGTAATTCTGTTTTGAGTTCCTTTAAACCTTTCTGCAGTTGCTTATTTACTTCCAACGCTACTAATTTATATATTTCAGCTAAGCTAGTGTCCACTGCATTTGTTCTGGGTGGGCATTGTGTTTCCTCCATATGTTTCTGCATTTGATTCTTAAAGTTCAGCTGCTATAAATTCAGAGTTTTCTTTTTTTCTTTATTCCATAAATTAATTCTACTCTGAGTTCCTCTATATCTTTCTGCTGTTGTTTATTTACTTCCGATGCTATTGATTCATTTATTTCAGCCGAGTTCGTGTCTTCTGCACTTGTTATGGGTGGGCTTGACGCCTGAGATTGCATTTTGCTCCTTGTCTTTATCATTTTGTTTAACACTGACCTCTGGCCTTTGGTGTGGAGCTTTGGTGCAATTATGTCCTTACCACTTAATGAAATTCAGGTACTGATATACCAAGTTCTAGTTCATGCAGTTGTGCCTGGCTTGGGTTTGGTTACTATGCTCAGCTCCTTCCTGTTGTTGCCCTTGGAGGTGGGCCTGCTGTACACTTCTGGTAAGATGTTCTGTTCCTGGATTAGCTGTGTAGTTTTGACCCTAGTCTCACTGCAGGGACTTTAGCTGCAGGGTTTTACCTCAAGCCTGTATGCCAGGTCTGGGGTGGGTCTGGAGGGGTATAAGGAGCAGGGGTGAGAGAGAGCCCAGAAGCTCTCCCACACACTCACCAGTGTTGTGTTTTGGTGGGTCTGCAGGACTCCCAAGAGCTCGGTGGAAGTTCTCACTCAGAGGGTGGACTGTGCTGGGTCTGGCCAGGCAGGGGAGGTCTGGAGAACGCGGGGAAAGGCCTCTATCATGCGGAGGGCCTGGGCTTGGAATGGTGGGCGGGTGCAGGACAGAGCAGAAGCTCTCCCCCACACTCGCAGGGCCTGGGGTTGGTCGGATATCCTTATCTTTTGTCTTACTCTTTAAATTACTTATATCCTTATCTTTTGTCTTACTCTTTAAATTACTTATATCCTTATCTTTTGTCTTACTCTTTAAATTACTTATATCCTTATCTTTTGTCTTACTCTTTAAATTACTTATACTTTGAAGGATTTTTTTTTTTTTTTTTTTTTTTTTTTTTTGCTTCCAATTCCCTCAGAGCAGGTTTGGCTGGCTTGAGTTGTGGGGATGGAACCACAGCAACCTGAGCCTGACTGCTTTGTTGAAGCAGCCACTTAAAGAACTGAGCCAAGGGGCAGCCCCCCTCTACTTTCGGTCTCTCATATAAGAGATCTCATGCAACAGTTAAGCATGTGTGTCTGATTTACCTCACTTAACATTATGGTCTCCAGGTGCATCCATTTTCCTACAAGTGACTCCAGTTTATGCTTCTTTATAGTAGAATAGAATCCCACTGTGTATACAGACATTGTCTTTATCCATTCATCTGTTGATGGACACATAGACCACTTCCAAGATTTAGCTATTACGAGCTGTACTGCTATAAGCAAGGGTATGTATGTATCACTGCTAGATGATGTCTTTAACTCTTTCAGAAAGTTATCTAAAAACAGTAGTGGCTGGGTTAAATAGAATATTAGTTCTAGGTCTTTGAGAAATTTCCATACTAATTTCCAAAATAGTCATCCTTATTTACATTCCTTCTCCCTCTGCAACCTTACAGTATTTGTAATTTGATTTCTTGATGATAGCCATTTTTTTTAGAGTAGGATGGAATCTCAGTATTGCTTTAATTTGCATTTCTCTGATATTGAGAGAAGTTGAACATTTTTTCATGTATTTACTGGCCATATTAAAGAAAAATAAAGAAAAAGGGAGCATTATATTTTACCTACATATATACTATTCTGGTTCTTTGTTGTACAGATCCAGATTTCCATATATTATTTTCTTTCTGACTGAAGAACTTCCTCTGTTATATCTTAGTGAATATATAGTAGTGAATTCTTTCAGCTTTTGTTTTCATATAAAAATTTTTGCCTTTAATTTTGAAAGGTATTGTGTATATGGAATTCTAGGTTAATAGCATTTTCCTTCAGTACATTAAAGGTTGTATTCCGCTGTCTTCTCTTCTGCATAGTTTCTAGAAGTGCATATATTGTGTTTCTTATCTTGTTCCTGTATACTTTAGCTTTGGTTTTTGGCAATTTAAGCTGTGTTGGTGTACTTTTCTACATATTTCTTTTGCTTAGGAGTTCTTTGACCTTTTGGGATCATGGGCTTAGCATCTTTTAATCAAGGTTGGAAAATTTTTTTATCACTTTTCCCTCTCCTCCAGGATCCCATCTGTGATAATCTGTCTCACAGCTCACAGATTTTCCATTCTTTTTTTTTCCTCTCTGTCTGCTTCCTTTTAGGTAGTTTCCATTACTGACCTTAGAATCACCGATCTTTTGTCCTACTCTCAAAATGCTGTTGGGTCTAGCCAATGTATTTTTTAGTCATGTATTTTGTCATCTAGATATTCCAAGTTAGTTTTCTTATCTCTTCTGTTTTCACTTTTTATGCTTTCTTTTATCTTCTAGTATTCTGGCTAAGAAGGCAGAATAAATCTTATCCCCATTGCTTCATTGTATGTGGAAGCAGAAATTCTACTTTGAATCATATTTAAAGCAAGAAAAATTACATAGAAAACATAAGTTTTATAAAATTTAGGTTTAGGGAACGCTATTAATACAATGTGTGTGTGTGTGTGTGTGTGTGTGTGTGCACGCGCGCACGCGCTGAGGTTTGAACCCAGGGTCTTGCACATGCTAGGCGAGTGCTGTACCACTGAAGTAACCCTCCAACCCAAATGGTCAACTCTCATTTGTGTTGTATACAGTGTATGTGATGCCAGCATCCATGTCTCGCTGGACTCAGAAGTCAGTGATAGAGAGGATATCTGGCATCCATAGAGCTCCGCTTAGGGCATAAAAAGATTTCAGATTTGACCTCATTTCATTCAGCCCCAGTGTAACTGAGTTATTGTATTTCTATAGTTGAGGACACAGATTTAGAATAGTTAAATCTTTTGCCAGCCTTCTCTAACCTGCTATAGAAAATTGGAAACTTTTTTCCTTCCTTTTCCTTGCGTTCCACCCTGTGCCCATTTTTATATCCGTGTATTTTTCGCTTAGCCGTTTGGTGAGGTAAGCATTGCTCCCCAGTTTCCATCTCCACCCCGGAGCTGAGCTGGTCCTAAGCTGCAGACCTGAAAATGCTGTGTGCTTTTCCACTCTCTGTTTGTGGAGTATTTCTTAGTGTGTAATTCAGTCCATGTGAGAAATTTGTTAGAGCCTCCAAATCCTAATAGTAATTTAGTTGTCATTATACCACAGATGAAAGAATAGAAGATTGGGTGAGGCTCTAGCGGCCTGTGTTATTCTCTGTCCTGCTGTCTGCTTTTATAACTTGCAGAAAGTTATTTAATTGCTATGCACCTGATTTCCTCACCTGAAAATGTATGTTCTGTTTAGAGATGTCCCTGGAAGTATTAATATCTTGTGAATGTGTCTAGAATTGTGTCTAGTAGTGAATTCTGATTAAATGCCAGATATACAGACGTTCAAAATGACATCCTAATAATAAATTTAAAAAATGAAACTCAAAAAAAAAATGACATCCTAGTTGAACACAGTTCATTTTTGTATGATGTGGTTTGGGTTTTGAGACAGGGTCTCACCATGTAGTATAGGCTGGCCTTGAACTCACTCGTGTAGCCCAGGCCAGCCTTGAGTTCAGGGTGACCTTTCTACTTCAGCCTCCTGAGTGCTAGAATTATAAGCATGTGCCATCACACCTGGCTTTTATATGTTATTAAGACTCTTGTTCTGAGCATAGCAGTCCATACTTGTAGAGCAACTTACTGAGACCCTGTCTGAGAATAAAAAGAGCTGGGGATTTAGCTCAGTGACTGACCTCCTACCAGTATGTACAAGGCCCTGGCTTTAATCCCTAGCATTGCAAAAGAAAGAATCCTTGTAGTGTGTGTGTCATAAAAGCTGAGAAGCTAGTGGTTCTTTAATATGTCTACCATAAAAGAATTGATTTGAAGCAAAATAGGAAAAGATCTCAAAATACCTCTTTTTTCCCCCACAGAAACTATGAAAATTATTTCATCAAAGCCCAGAAAGTGAGGCGCCTCATTGCAAATGACTTTGTGAATGTTTTTAACTCTGGAGTGGACATCTTGTTGACCCCCACTACCTTGAGTGAAGCGGTACCATTCTTGGAGTTTATCAAAGAAGATAACAGAACACGAAGTGCCCAAGATGATATTTTTACCCAGGCAGTCAATATGGCAGGTGACAATCACTAATGGATGTTCTGGCTTTCTTAAAATTCTTGGGTCAGGGAGATAGCTTAGGGGCCGGGGAGATAGCTCAGTGGAAAAAGTGCTTGCCCAGCAAACATAGAGTCCTGAGTTCGATCCTTGGTACCACTAAAAAAAAAAAAAAAAAAAAAAAAAATTCTTAGGCAGTTCACTGACTCTTGATTTAGGTTCTAGATGGATGTTTCCCTAATGGTCATAACCTCTCTTTCTGAAAAAGTAACGAGTGTGTGTGTGTGTATACTTGCCTTTCGCCTCTTACATACATACACACCTATATTCTGAACCAGTACAGGTAATAGTATTTTTAAATTTTATTTCAAGAATGTTTAGCTGGACGTGGTAGTGCATGCCTGTAACTCTAGCACTCCTGAGGCTGAGGCAGGAGGATTGCTATGAATGTGAAGCCAGCCTAAACTATAAAATGAGACCCTGTCTCAAAAAACAAAAAGCAAAGAAAAAAGTTTAAACCAGAAACACTGAAATAAATAATGAATATTGAGAGACTTTTCATGTAGATTTGGCCTTGTTAACATTTTGCTTCACTTCTAACCCTCTTCCTCTCTCCAGACACACACCACCTTGTTAGCTGAATCATTTGAAAATGTCACATGCCATGACATTTGATGCCTAAAGAATTTAGTATTGATCACTAAGGACATATTTATTATTACTTTGGAAATAATGTGACTGTGTACCATATTCAAATTTTTTCAACTGTTCTAAAAGTATCTTTTGGGCTGGGGAGATGGCTCAGTAGAATAAGTGCTTGCCTGGCAAGTGCAGGGTCCTGAGTTCAATCCCTAGTATCGCAAAAAATAAATAAAATTTAAATTTAAAGTATCTTTTATAAGTTGTTTTGTCCCCCCACATATCCTACTTTTTAGTATCTTTTAAAATCTAAAACACTATGTCTTGGGGCTGGGGAGATGGCTCAGGAGAATAACCTCTTGCCTGGCAAGCACAAGGGCCTGAGTTCAATCTCCGGTTCCGCCAAAAAAATAATAGCAATATAGCACTATGTCTTGTGCTTTTGTTATTTGAGAGCCGCATCAAACAAAAAAGAAAAAAATTCTATTATATTTGCCTATACTTTTGTTTTCTGTGTTTATTTTTCCAGAAATACCAAGATCCATTCTTTTTTCTTTTCTGTAAATAGCATTTCCTTTAGTTTTTGTTTGTTTGTTTTCACATCATCCTGCTGGCAGCAAATTTTTTCCTCCTACTTTATGAAAATATCTTGATGACTCTTTTCTTTATAATATTTTTTTTCTTAAGTTTTTGGTTTGGTATTTGCTAGGTATCAAGTTCTGGTTTAACAGTATTATTGGTTTAACAGTTACTATGTTTGGCAGTTCAAAAAGTTGTGCTCTTCTGTCCTGCTTGGTCTATAATGAGAAATCTCCTACCTTTTAAATTTTTTTCTTTTACTGTTTTTTTAAAAAAGAGTTCCATGGGGCCAGGGAGATGGCTCAGCAGAATAAGCGCTTGTCTGAAAAGCGCAAGGGCCTGAATTCAATCCCCGGTTCTGCAAAAAAAAAAAAAAAAAGAGTTCCATCCAGTTGTAGGATATCCTGTTCATAGGCTGGATTTGTCTAATTATTTCCTCATAATTGGATTGAGTTAAACATTTTTGACAGATACACCACATACACTTCATGCCAGGAAACAGTAAATAGCATTTTATCCTACTTTTGAAAACTAAATTAATGACTTAAAGAAATAACTGCCAATTTTTTTTCACATTTTTCTTTTAGAAGCACATTTTCCTTTTCTCATGTGTAAGTAACTTATGGAGTGATGCTGAAACTATGTGAATATTTTATTCCCTGATAATGTTGAGGTCAATTTCAGCATCCATTGATGATCCTTACCTGGAGTATTATAAAATGTAGATTTCTCTAATTTCAACATTCCATTCTAGCTAACACCCTTCTGTAAATAAGAACTTTCTCTGTTTCAAAAGAATTTGTTCTATTTTGTTTGTTTAATTGGTTCTTTGTCTTGGTTTGGTTTTTGAGGCACGTTCTCACCATGTATTTAGGCTAGTTTTGAACTCAATAGGTAGCCCAGGCTGACCTTGAACTTGCAGCAATGCCTAAGCTTCCCATGTGTTGGCATTGCAGGTGTGCACCACCACACCCAGATTAAAAATTGGATCTGTTAAAAGCAATTATTGTCATTATTGTTTTCAGCACTCAAATTATTCCAGATATAGCCAATAGGAATCCCTTCAGGTTGCCTGTATGCTTTATATCTGTTTTGATTTTTGGGGGGTTTTTGGTGGAACCGAGGATTGAACTCAGGCCCTTGTGCTTGTCAGGAAAGTGCTTGTTCCACTGAGCCATCTCCCTGGCCCCTCCATTTTAATTTTTAAAAATTTGTTTTGTGACATAACAAGATATCTTGGAATCTTGTACTTTCTCTCTTCCAAACCTGGAATCAAAAGTACCCCAGGTTAACGCATTTAAAAACTGGAATTCAAAGAGTCTTAAGCTAGTTTCTTAACTAATGGATTGACAAACATTCAGAACACATCCTGTTAGCAAACCATAAGAAAAGAAACACTTGTTTTTCTGATGGGATTTCAAACTGGAGAATTTTGAATTAGGTATGCATTTATCCTTTGATAAAGCTATCCCTCTACATCTAAAAAACTTTCAAGTGTAGAAAAACAAGATATATAGATATTGTGTATCAATGCACTGTCAACCAAAATGTCTAACAATAGAAAACAACTTGAATAAATTATGGTAAAACCAGATAATGGAGTCCTTAGTGATTAATACTAAATTCTTTATGCATAACTCCCTTTTCTGTATTTATAACTCAACACAGTTATAAAAAAAGAGTGAAGGTCTCTGAATTGAAAACTGATTTCCTTTTATTATTAATGCCTATTAATTTTATAAAAGGATTTGAACATTTTTTATTTTATTTTTTATTTTAATTTAATTTTATTTTTATTTTTATTTTATTTTATTTTGTTCCAAATGCCTTCAGGGCAGGTTTGGCTGGCTTAAGTTGTGGGGATCGAACCACAGCAACCTGAGCCTGACTGCTTTGTTGAAGCAGTCACTTGAAGAACTGATCTAAGGGGCAGGCCCCCGAAAATGTATATTTTAATCATATCCATTCCCTTCCTTATACTCCCTCCTTCTCTATTCCCCTCTTGTTGTCTAATAATAGCTTCCCTTTGACTTTTATGTTATTGTTTTTAGATTTCACATATTAGGGAGAACACACAATATTTGTCTCTCTGCGTGTTGGCTTATTTCACTCAATATGATGATCCCCAGATCCATCCACTTTTCTTCATATAACAAAATTTTGTTCTTCATTATGGCTAATATTCCATTGTGAATATATACCATGTTTTCCTGATCCATTCATCTGCTCATGGGCACCTAGGTTGATTTTGTATCTTGGCTCTGTGAATTGTATCACAGTAAACCTGAGTGAGCAGGTGTCCCTATGGAATGCTGACTTTAATTCCTTCAGGTTTGTGCCAAGGAGTAGTATAGTTGGATCAAACCTAGTTTTAAAGTTTTTAGAAAATGCCATACTGATGTCCACAATGCCTATATTAATTTACATTCCTGCCAGCAGTGTAGAATCCCCTTTTCCTCAAACCCTCATTAGCATTTTTTTTTTTTTTTTTTTTGCATTCTTAAAGACACCTATTCTAACTGGGACAACATGGGATCTCAAAGTGTGGCTTTGATTTGCACTTCCCTACTGGCCAAAGATGTTGAGCATTTTTCAATAGTTACTAGCTTCTGGTAGATCTTTGGGGCAGAATCTGTATCCAGTTCACTTACCAATTTGTTAATTGGACTATTTAATTTTTTGATCTTAAGTTCTTGAGTTCTTGATATAGTCTAGATATTAGAATTCTGTTGGAAGATTAGCTGCAAAGATTTTCTTATTCTGTCTATGGGCTGTCTTTGTTCTGTTGTTTCACTTTCTGTGCAGAAGCCTGTCAATTTAATGTCCTATCTTTTGATTCTTGATTTATTTCCTGTGCTATTATAGTCCTGTTCAGGAAGCTTTTGCCCATAGATACAGTTTCAAGTGTATGTCCCATTTTCTTTTAGCAGTTTCAAAGCTTCAGATTTTACACCTAGTGATTTCTGAGGTACATTGTTAAGGGAATAGAATATGGATGAAACACATAGACTATATAATGTAATATTTCTGTTGTTTTTTTTAAAGCCTTATTCTGGGGCTGATGTGAAGGGGCATACATATAATTCCAGCACTCTGGAGACTGAGGCAGGAGGACTGCCATAAATTCAAAGCCAGACTGAACTGCAGAGTGAGACCCTGTCTCAAAACAAAACAAAGCAAAACAAAAAATTTTTTTTTTTTTTTTTTTTTTTTTGCGAAACCGGGGATTGAAGTCACCAGGCCCTTGCACTTGCCAAAAACAAAAAATCTTACTCTGCCTTTATTTGTTAGCATTGAAAAGTAGAATAGATCTGAGCTTCTTAGGATGGAGAATTGATCAACTGATGGGTTTCTCTCTTTTCCTCAGGGTTGCCAGCTGTGAGCATGCCGGCAGCCCTCTCAACCCAGGGGCTGCCAATAGGGCTACAGTTCATCGGACATGCATTTTGCGACCAGAAACTTCTCACAGTTGCCAAATGGTTTGAAAAACAAGTGCAGTTTCCTGTTCTTCAGCTTCAGGGACTCATGGATGATTGTTCATCAGTCTTTGAAAATGAAACGTTACCTTCTGTTTCTGTAAAACAGTAGTGATAGGTGTATCATGAAAATTAAAATGATTTTTAAAGCTTCTGTACTCTCAAGTGTCAAATGATACTGTGCAATTCTTGTAGTAGGGTTCCTTGTCGATAGACTCATTCCTTGGGTTCCCTTTCTTAGAGTCCTGTGGTACAGTTGACAAGTTACAAACCATCAGCATTTATTAAACAGCTGCTATGTGCGAGGTACAGGATCTGTACTGTAATACATATAAAAGCATGTTCCTAAGAAGCAATGCAATTCAAAAGTGTTCATTAAAAGAACTTACAATAAGTATCAGCTTTGGAAAAACTTTTACATCTTTATAACTAAAGCACTTACAAAAACAAGAACTGTTCTCCCAGAGATAAGTTATGTAGCCCAGGCGGGTAGCTTGTCATGAGGAGCCTGTGCATGGAATGTTAAAAATACACAAAAGCAGTTGAGCAGCTTTCAGGAACATTGAGCAAAGCAGGTAGAAGAGGGCTGGGCCTGGGAGGAAGTACAGCGCCGCAGGGCCCAGATTCCCATAGGTCTGGAGGTCCCGCTCTGCAGGGAGAACCCCAAGTGCAGGTACTCTAAAACTTGAGCCAAAGTGACTGTGAGGACTTCGCTTCCCCTTTCCTCTTAGTACCCACACCTGGAAGGAGCCAGAAGAACCACAATCTAAAAAACTTGCAGACAGGAAGGAAGCCAAAAATATGAGGCCCAAGGCAAGTTCCTCCTTACCAGATTCTTTTCCTTATGCTTTCCTTAACCTCCCATCTGTCTATAAATTTCTTTATTTGGGCCTTTTGACCGACCCCAAAGAGACCTGAACCAGGGCAGCTTAGTGAGACTGTCTCCAAATTTTAAAAGTAAAAAAGAGCTGGGATGTGGCTCACTGGTAGAGAACCTTTGGGTTCATTTCCTCATACCACAAATCAAAGTAGTAAGAGGCTGGACCTGTGGAATGTTTTGGTGGGAGGATTAACCTGCCTATTATTCATTAATAAATTGCCATCCCTTCAGGCCTTTTTCCTGAGACGGGGCCTTTTAAATAGCCAGGGCTGGTTTTGAATTCTCAGTCCTGCCGCCACAGCCTCCCAATTAACTGGGATTACACACATGTGCCATTGCACTGTCTCCATCCTGCTTTTCTTTGGATTTATTCTATGGTTTTATTCCTTAAAAACTTAGTTTCAGTGCTAAGGCTTGAACCCAAGGGCTTGCAAGGTAAGTCAGTGCTCCGCAGCAGCGCAGAACTCCCAGCTCCCCATTGATAGTTCATCCTCCCTGGGGTCCTCCCACCCTAAGGACGGGCTGACTCCATAAAGGCCTACTGTGCTAGGCTCTCAGAGACACGGACTCCAGATCCCCTAGAGAGGTACATAAAAGAGGAAATGACATGGCAGTTGGCCTTCCACAACTGCAGGTACAGCCAAATACAGAACAAAAGGACTCCAAAAAAAAGAGAGAAAATTTAAAAATTCCAGAAAGTTCTGAAAAGCTAAACTTAAAAGCTTTGCCTTGTGCTGAGAAATAAGCTGAATGCATTCACATGAAGTGATGTTAGGTATTAGATACTGTAATCTAGAGGTGATTGTACAAAAAAAAAATTAGAGTATGTCAACCTTGCAAAAAAAATAATTTTTGAACTTAAGAAAAAAAAGTGTACAGGAAGGTGTGTATAGGGTATGTGCAAACCTCTGCCGCCACAAGGAAGGAACTTAACATCTGAGGGAGTTGGTGTCTGAGGTCCTGAACCATTCTGTCCGCTATCCAGAGACACTACGTAACATGAGGAAACCATGAAGAAGCTGATGTAAAAAGCAAGAAGAAATCCCAATCTTTTATGTATGCATAATTTGAAATGAAAGTTTTTCAAAAGTTTACTCTTGTTACCATCTCTAACTTGAGCGGTGTTAATGACTTCTGAAAACAGAAGTCCAGCATTTACTATTCTCAGAATAATAACTAGCATGAGATGACCCCCTAATTTGTATTTCTTTCCCCTCCATTTTTATCTGAAATCTAAATCTCATTTTTTTGCCAAGTCTTGGAACTTAAATGACAAATATTTTCTGTGCCTCAGCTAATTAACTGCTGAGATTGTTGGCAACACAGTACTTCTGGAAGTCAAAGGCGCCTACCAGTGTAAGCTGTTTTTCTTGTAAGACTCAGCCAGTGAACCAAACAAAAGGACAAAAATTAGTCAACAATAAAAGCATGTCAGGTGAAAAGATGTTATGCCATCACGAAACCTGGCACCCTGACACCACCCAGAACCAGAGAAGCAAGTGGGAAAACCGCTGTTGCATGCTGGCCCACACTTGACTTCACCGAGAAAACCACTTGAAACCAGGGAGGCAGAATGTTCCTTTTGAACGGCTCTTTGACCACAGGTCCTCTGTGAACAATGAAGAACATGCGCCCTCTAGAAAATGCCACATGACACAACAAGGGCTTCAAAAAATGACGAAAAGTCATCTCTACTAGGAAGAAAACCTGTACCTTTTAAAGTACCTTTTAAAGAAAACCTGTTTACCTTCTAAAGTAAACAAATGTTTTCAGGATGTTAACCAAAGAACAGTGAAAGAGAGATGGTACTGGTTGATCTCAGCAAGATGTCCACAAACCCTGTGCACATAAAGCAAGGGGGCAAAATAATGCAATTTCAAATTACATTTCTGATGAACATTCATTCCTTAACTGAAACCTTGCTCCCATTTCCTTGGACATGTAATTAGCAATACCAGGACAAAATGTGTGTTAGCCTGGAGTGCAAGACCAAGGTACAGTTTATTCACTGTGTTTAAAAGCATCAGCAGAAGGGCTGGTGAGATGGCTCAGTGGTCTAAAGCACCTACTTAGAACAAGCTTAGCTAAAGCACAGGGACCACGGTTCAATCCCCCAGCACCATATGCCAGCCAGCCCCGCCCCCTGGTGGGCTGAGCTGGCCACACACACACACACACACACACACACACATAAATAAATAAATAAAATAAAAAATAAATAAAAGCATCAGCAGAACTTCCAAATAGGCTTTCTTTCATTATTTCATAATTAAACTGTTTAAACACTAACAGAAACCTAACAGTTTAATAAAAGCATAATATGAAAACAACCCAACCAACATTTAGTAGAAGTATTAACTACAGAATTTTAGAGTTTATTCTTTCTTTGTACTTCAGTGGAACATAAACCCAAAAAGATTTTAGGCAGGTTATTTAAAACATATTATAAAATTTTAAAAGTAAACATTTGAAGACATTACTAAAGTGACAATAAAAGTGAGAGTGAAGGATAAAAATAAAACCAGGACTAAGATTAAAGACAAAAATGTACACTGAGGTATGTTTACAGTTGCTTAGGGCAGTATAGTGTGTGAAGTAGTGGGAAATTCCCCAGCAGCTTTCCCAGGGTGGTAAGACTGCCAGACTGAATAATCAGGCAAACCCGGGTTTGAATCCTATTACTGCCATTTACAAGCTGTATAATTTGAGTTTCACTATCCTGATCTATAAACTAAGAATAATACTGCCTCTGTGGAGTAGGATTAGACTTAAGTAATTCACTGAGAACATGATGCCTGATAGAATAGGCACTCAATAATTTTTAGGTATAAATAAATGCATGCAATCATGAATTGAAGATATGGTAAGCTAATGGCATATGGCCAAATTTTAATTTACTAAAAGCTTACTCTGTAGGCCAGTCATACACCTTCCTGATGATCTGGCAACTCTGAAGATGAAGTTTATAACATCTATAAGAACTCGTGGGTTGCATGTTTCAAACTTCCCATGGCTGTTCAGAAACCTGGGGTCTTCAAAGGCCCTTGCACTGTGACAATCAAGTGCAGAGCAGGTGTGACAGGCCCCTTTAAGAATGAAAGTTCTACTACAATGGCCACTGCCCATTTCACTGGGGTGAAAGTATTTTTGACAGAGCTAAATTCTTCCTCATAAAGAGCAGTTCCATTCCAACATACGGACAGATAATTGAGGCTTCCAAATACTGTATCTCAGGTGCAATTACTTTAACAAGGGAGAATTTTAAGGTAGATGTTACCAATAGCCCATCAGTCTATCCATCAGGGAAAAGAAGTTAATGAAGCACCCATGGGGAATCTAATTGTAAGCAATTTCATTCCTTGGTGAGCCTCCCAAGATAAATTAGTTGTAAAGTAGGCCTGAAGGTAAATGAATAATGTGATAGACTTGGTGGCAGATATCTTCCAAAATAATACCTGACAATTTTGGCATAGATCACTTAATAGGACCAAGTATCTGTAGACGTGTGTGTGTGTGTGTGTGTGTGTGTGTGTGTGTGACAAGTGTTTGCATGTCAATTATCCAAAACTAGTTTAAGTCATTAATTAGCATACCGAAGGGAAGTTAAACTGGAATTCAGAGTTTGAAGACTTACAGTAACCTAGGATATTCTTATACTCTAGCAGCAACATTTTATCGACAAGCATGTAGGAAAATCTGTATCTTTTAAAATTACATGCAAATTATTTTCTTAGAAAATGACTGCATTTCTCCATGAAGATGGCCACTAGTGTGCAGATAACTGGTGCAGAATTAAGGCAGTGCTAATACATATTTTTTTAAAAAAAATATAAAGTGAAAATAAGAATTCAGATATTTATTGGATTAGAGGATAAAAAGGAAGGGCAAGAAGAATAATTTTTTATCCTGGGAAATGTTCACACCTAGATGACTGCCATTATCTTTGGTAAAAAGGGAAAGTAAGAACAATTGGTGAGGCTGAAGATGAATTCTATAACTAATGGAAATCCCTAACAGGGAAAAGAAGCAATTGAGATGGAGTTTTAAGAGTCAATAGAAAATAAAGTCTTCATATGGCTTCCTTTTTTCCCTTATGAGTTATTCAAAAATTCAGAGGTCAGTGACCACCCACATACCCACCATGTATGTTCTGCCATTGATATTTTACAATATTTGCTTTATCATGTACTTGTCACCTCTGTTCATCCATTAACCCTTCAGAGTTTGAAGACTTACAGTAACCTAGGATATTCTTATACTCTAGCAGCAACATT